CCAGGTCACTCCCTTTTCCGCACCGCGGCTGTCCCACCTGCGCATGCGCTTCATGTGACTTTGGGGTTGTCTCCTCCCTGGGTTCTTGGGGGATATCCTCAAACCATGGCAGTCAACTAGACAATACAGATCCTTGTTGGTGATGTCAGTTTTGGCCTCCTCTAGGTTGCTATCCCACCGGCCAGGGCCACATTGCGCAAAATAATGCAGAGAAAGTGGCGAGCTAGCCGATCAGCAAGTCCAGATCCTCTGAATTACTGTGATCATAATATTTCTTTTGAACTACGAAGACAATATGTTACAGAACTTGCAAAAAATAGATAAAAATACCATCTGCTGTTCTATCGCATTAACAAAACTTTTTTTTTTAGTTTTTCCTTCAAACATTCCGATCTGCGCCATAATGCATCTGTGTGAAATAACACCGACATGAAATAAAAAGGAGACATTTCTACTCACTTTGTGAGTTCTTTATTCTATTTGTGCAGATCGAAGCCTAGAGTCAAAAACATCATTGCACCCTTGGTCATTTCCATTAGGAAAGCCAAAAGGGTGGGATTTCTCCAGTCTAACTCTTTTCTGAAAGAAATTGGTTTTTTCAAGACTATTTGGAAAACCTGCACCTCCTAATACGTGCATTTTGTACAGTGTTCCACAATTTGGAATTTTTCCTTTAGAATTCATTTGCAAGCACGTATTTTCCCCATAAAATTACCCCTAGGGGATGCATTGCATTAATATTTAGAGGATGTCGCCTGGATGCGTGGCCTATAGCAAGCGGGAAAGATGCTTTTGCCTAGAAAAGGGTACCCTGAGACCCTGGCAGCACCAGGATGGGATAATTTAAACTCTTCCTAGAAAAGCAATGAGGGCCTGACAGAAATGCACACTGGCCTCTTAGCAGCCCTGTGCAGCAAGCCCCAAGCTGGCCGGATGCTAGGTGTCCACTCGGGGACATGAAGGGAAGGCTGGTTTTATTAGGACAGCCCTTCCCCACTTGCCACAGGCTTCATTTTCAGGAGAATGTCTGCATCCTAAGGACCATACAAGACCCAGAGCAGCAAGAAGTCAAGTTTCTCACTTGGAATCCCAGGGCGACAGCTCCTCAGTGGAGCTCAGGGGAGGGGCCTTGTCCCTCTGGAGTCAACGCTTTCCGAGTTTCCTTGGCTTCATTTTATTAGCTCTTTAGAAAGCCCTTTTCTTCAATGTATTACTCTTGGCGTTTTCTCTCATAAAAAATGGTAGACAACCTTTCTATGGATTTCTGCCTATAATCTCCCCCTTTGTTTTTACTAATGTGGTATATTAAATTGATTTAAAAATTAGACCATCCTTTTATTACCTTAATATTGTAGGGCTAGATTCAATTTGGTAATTAAAATAAATTTTTGTTATCTATAATCATAAGATATTGGCCTGTAATTTTCTCGTCTTGAGCTGTTCCATTTTTTCCGTTCTGGTTGTAGGACTCCCTTAAGTATCTTTGTAAGGACACTCTGGTGGTGACGGATCCCCTCAATGTTTGATTGTCCTGGAAAGTTCTTATTTCTCCCTCCTTTCGAAGGGTAGCCAGGCTGGGTATGGGATTCAGTTGGCAGTTACTTCCCTTCAGGACTTGGAAGGTATCATTCCACTCCCTCCTGCACTAGGTGGAAATTGGCAGGTTGTTTCATGGGGTACCTTTAAGTAAGTCTCAGCATGCTTCTCTTGCTGTTTTGGGGATTTTCTCTTTTTTCTCTAGAACTTTCGACAGTTTGACTATAATAGTCATGGTGAGGATGTTTTCTGGTGTGCATATTTGAATCTTAGAGGGCTTCTGTACATGGATGCCCTGACTGTTCCCAAGATTAGGCAGTTTTCAGTAATTATCTCATTGAATATGTTTTCTATGCCTTGAGCTTTTTCTTATTTTCTTTGGGCATCTAAAAAGTGTTGATATTCATTCACTTAATAGTGTCCCGAAAGTCTCAAAGACTTTCTTAATTCCTTCTTTTTTTCCTCCCTCCCTCCCTCTCTCTCTTTCTTTTTTCTTTCTTTCTCTCCTTCCTTCCTTCCTCCCTCTCCTGTCCTCTCTTCTCTCCTCCCCCCTCCCTTTTTTCTCTTTCTCTTTACCTCATCTGACTAGGATATTTCAAAATATCTATTTAGATATTTTTTTTCTGCTTGATCGAGTCTGTTGTTGAGGCTTTCACTGAATTTTTCATTCCATGTATTGGGCTCTTCATTTCCATCCTTTCTATTTCGCTTGTTTTCAAGTCCTAGCTGTGCTCCACGCTCCGTGTCCTCATGACTATCTTGAGCTTCTCTGTGCTCATTTGTTTAACTCGTGGCTCCTGCTGTGAGCCCAGTCTCACGGTTCCTACCACTGCCAGCCCATCTTGTCCTCGGAATTGCTCCTGTCAAGGCTGCTGGTGAGAGCCATGGAAGGGGTGCTGTGGTGCAGCCCCTGCCTCATGCAGTGCACAGGCCCCTGTCACTGCTTGATCTGAGGAGGCTGTTTCAGGTCCCCCCGCACCTGGACTGCTGGTGCCAGAGGCCCTCGCCAGCAGAGGTCCCTGGAATGGTGCCCGAGGAGACCGTCATCTACCAGGAGGCCTGCTTCATAGGGGTGGTGATACACAGACCTCCCACATCCTTTGCACTGAGGCCACACTTGCCAGAACTGCTAGAGGGTTCCCATGCCTGCATGGCTTGCAAATAGCAGGAGTGTCTTTGACTCTGATCTGCTGCCCATGGTTCCAATGTCACCAATTACAGTCAAAGAACCTATGGGGAGACCACACTACAGTGCCAGGTGGAAAGAAAGGCAGCATTGCATAATGAATGAACAGCCCTCGAGACGACAAGAGTGGAAGCTGCGTAGGAGGAAGGCAGATGTGTGACCTCAGCGTAGGAATGCAAGACATGAAAAGACAGGGCCACGCAGGGCCTCCGGAGGAGCACAGTAACTCCAGCAGCAAGTCCCAGAGTAAATGATATGGATGAGACGCCTGCTGAAGAGCTGAAATTACCTTCTCTTCTTCCGGCCCCAGGTGAGGCAGCTGCAAGTTACGGTGCAGATGTAGGCAAGTCTGAGAACCACACCCTGCACAACCCATCCCGAAAACGCACAGAAATGGCGTCAAGAGACCCTGACTGCAAAGGGGAAGATCCCAAGCTCCCGAGGAATATGTGCTTTGCCAAGAAGCACAAGAAGACAGGCCTGAAGAAGGTGCAGGGAAACAATGCCAGGGCCGTGTATGTATGCACCGAGGCTGTTAAGGCCCCTGACAACCCCAAGGAGGCCAGGCCCGAGGCCCCCAAGGTGACCACAAGCTCACTGCCTGCAACGCCTTCCCCAAGCTCAGGGAGTACGGCTGTGCCCAGGCTGGCAGGGCTGCAGGCTTTGCCGGCCAAGGACTCAGGCTCCAACCAAAGCCCAGGCTCAGGCTGCCGCTCCACTTCTGCTCCAGCTCAGGTGCCCAAAGGCACCCAAGGCCCCTGTGAAGGCTGTGCAGTAAGGGCCTCTATGGGCCGATGTGAGGACAGAAGGACTGGTGTGACCCCTGGGCTGCCATCTGCAGGGGGCTGGGGTCCTCCTCTGCTCTTCATATGAATAAACCTGGGGCAGGAAAAAAAAACAACTGAAGTTATGTCTTTCAGAAGTTTAAATATTTCCCTCCACCTTGTTTTCATTAGTGCTGTTTCTGATGAGTGCTCTGCTATAATTCTTGTGTTCATTCCTCCACAGGACAGCTGCTGTATCAGCCACGCTCCACTCTCTGGAACAAAACACCCAACACCTATAACTCAAAGGAGCAGAGCTTTATTTGATTCACAGCTTCAGAAGTTTTTGTTCATGGTGGGCTGGTGCAAGGCAGAAACACCATGGTGGAAGGGCTTGGGAGGGAACAACTGCTCACCCGTGGCAGCCGGGAAGAGAGGGGAGGAGCCGGGACAAGACGCCTTCTGGGTCACGACCCCAGCGACCACCCGTTTTGGACCTGGCGCTGTCTCTAACAGCACATTCAGCTCTGAACTCATCAGGGAGGAAGCCACTGATGGGTACGGTGCTTCCATGGTCCAGTTACCTTCCAAAAGACCTACCCTCTGAACAGGAGACTTTGGGGACATTTTGGTTAGAAACCACGCAGATACTTTTTGCTCCTCAGGTTAATTTTGAGATCCCACGCCCCCCGGAATCTTTGCTTTTCTGAAGTTAGGACTAGGAGGAGCAACTTACAAGGCATAGTATTCTCTGTTGTTTCTGGATCTGTAGCTTAATGTCTGTCATTGTGTGGAATCATCATCTTTTCCAACAGTTCTGCTCCATCTTGCTCTTATTCTGTTAGACCAAGTGTACATATGTTATACCTTTGGAATTATCCCACTTTCTAAGTTTTTTTCCATTCTTTTTTCTCTCTGTATTTCAGCTTAGGAAGTTTGTATTGACCTTTCCTAAAGTTGACTGATATGTCGCCATAACACTTCTACTGATGAAGCCATCAAAATATCCTTAATTTTGTGTCCAGTGTTTTTTTCCTAATATTTAAACAATTATTTCATAGAGCTTCTTACTTTGTGTTATCCATATATTTTTGTCTAACCTTCCTATTAGATATAAATAACTTTAAACAGATGGTCTGGTAATTCCATAATCTGTATGATATGTGAATCTGGTTGTGATGCTGACTTTGTCTTTTCAGTTTGCACACTTGTTTGTTTTTTTGTAGGGATTGTAATTTTTTGTTGACATCTAGATGTGAGGTATGAGTTAATAGGAATGGTGATAAACAGGACAATGTTGTTAGGTTTTGTGTTAATCTGGGTAGGAGTTTGGCTGCGTCTGATATTTGCTAAAGCTATAGATGCCAGAGGCTTCACTCACCATTCTTTCAGGCCTCCAAAGTCATTGTTTTTCTGTTCAGTTGAATGTGGGTTCCCTAGGTGCTCCTCCTTATGTAAAACACTAAGAGCATCTCTTCATTTGAATGAAGTTTAAGCTTCAAGTCATGTCTAGAATCCACAATTCTGCCAAGAAAATGATTGGCAACCACCATCTCATCTAGAAGGACCACTTCTGCTTTTGGGGTTTCAGTTCTTCTGGTCTTCCTCATTTCCGTATGCTTTGTTTCATTTGTGTTGAGCAATTTAATAAGAACAGAATTTTGTTTTCTCACAGTTCAGGAGGCAAGAGGTCCACGATCAAGATGCCAATATCTGCCACAAGTTCTCTTGCTGTGCTGTCGTGTGGTGAGTGGGGATGGACAAGAGAGCAGGACAGGGAGCTGCTGTCATCAATATCTTCCCTGCAGCATCAGTCTAATCATGTGACCTGACCCCCTCCTGTGTGCCTACACTATGGAGAGTCAAACTATAGCGCAAAGCTCTTCCATATTTTCAAATAAATGATTGCGTAATTCATCCAGTTTTTATAAAATTATTATGTTTTTGTAGTCTGCGATGTTCTATGACATCACCTGGAGGCAGAAGGTGATTATTTTTTTAAGAAGAAAAACTTGAATTCTTTCATTTTGGGACACATGTATGACATCAGCAAAGATGTTGAATTCTCATTTACTGGTCCATCACATTAGCTGGTTCTCTGCAATCACTGCAAAATACCCAGTGTTGGCCTATCAGGAAGATTAGGAACTGGTGTTGAGTTTCACACTCTGGAAGGTGTACTATACACACATCGATGGGTCTTATGGGTATTTAAGGAACACAGTAGAGGAGAACTCAGCGTCTATAAAGAAGAGCAGAAACCACAATAAAAAGTTTCACAATATTATATGAGGCAGAAGAAAATAGAGGAGTATCCTCCAGGGCGCTTTAATTAGAGCCCAGAAAATTACAATTTCTTCAGGAACAACGAAACAAACAGGAAACATCCAGTGCAGAACCACAGAGGACCACTTAGACGTATACCAGAAAAACCATGCTGGAAATGACAAACAGGGGAGAGAAACTCAGGAATGAAAGGAAATAAGAAAGCTGACTTCAGCAGTGTTTCAGAATGCTGCAACATTATGCATAGTGCTAATTAGGTTGGTGAGCCGCAGAGAAATCAGAAAACACACTTTCGTTTCCTGACTCCCGAGCAAACATGGGGCCTGTCGTGTTTGATGGAAGTGGAACAAAGGACAAATGTTGGATTTGCTTAAGTGCAGGGTGGACAGGGAGAAGGGTGATTAGTCCTCAGTGGCAAACAGATCTTTGCTCCTTTTGGGCGTTGCTTAGAGTTGAGTTATCTGCTTGTCCTAAAAGTGGAGGTGTATTACACATACCCACATATTACATGTGTGTGTTTGGTGTGTGTGTGTGTACAGAAGCAGATGATGGAGATCATGCCTCACTAATCTACATAGGTTTTGGTGCTTTCTTTTCCAAACATAATCTGACCTATGTGCACGTAAACGTAAGACTCCCAGTGAGTGATGTGCCAAAGTCAGTAGCGCCTTAGTGAAGCGAATACTGTGAGAGGCCGTGTCATGGCCGTAGAGGAAACGCGGGCTCTGGGGTCCGATGTGGGCTCAGACTCTGGAGACCTGCTGATGGCTGAATGAGCACACAGACGTCGGTCTTCCCGAGCCTCAGCCTCCCCATGGGAGGATGGAGATAGTTAGTGCTGCCTTCAGAAGGTTGGGGGGATGTGGGACACTTGGCTGATAATGGCGAAGTCACCTGGGGACTGGAGGCAGAGGACTGGGGGAGTGGGAGAAGGCTGGAGCTGGCGGGTGGGCAACACAGGCCCCGGGAGAAGATGGAAGGGCAGGGAGGACCCAGGAGGGGACGTTGGTCGGCCGCCAGGGGCCCTGATGTGGGTCCCTCTGAGCGGGTGTGCTATCTTTTCACCCATCGCAGAGAAGTCACCATCGCTCAGCTGTGCCAACTCTCCCCTCCCGCCTCCCAGGAAGGCAGTGGCGTGTCCAGTTCACTAAGGGACTCCCGTGGGGTCAGCTGTCCCAGTGACGTCGTCTGTGAGCTCTGGGCAAGCTGCCTCTCGTCTGTTCTCATAAAGACCTCAGCAGGCTTAGAGCTCATGATGTGGGAGTTGGAGAAATACTTGATGTTTTAAAAGAAAAAAACTGCACAATGGAACAGGCAACAGGATGCAAGGTGGGTTACTGCTGACGACTCTGAGAATAAACAGAAAACAGCGCAGTGTCGTGGTGGGCTGCTAGCCACACACACTTCTTTGTCTGTGGCCCTGCTGGGGAAAAGAGGGAATTGCTGTGGGGAATAGGAAGAAAGAACAACTTTTAACTCATACAGAGAGATCCTAGTAACCCTCATTTTGGGGACAGAAGGAGGCAAGGAGGAAAAGGAGCCAACTTCAAACCCAGTGAGTCCTCCTGGTTTGCTCCTGCTTCCAGGCTGGGAGGAGTTGGTTGTAAACGTCGTACGTAGGTGGTGGCTTTCTGAGTCATAGGCTTCATAATTAACCCCATGAAGCAGATATTTTGTGCTTATACAGCGGACAAGGAGCAGGTTCCGGGGCACACCAACGAGACAGAACACTCCTACTTCTCATGACATTGAAGAAGAATCCCAAGAAAATTCCAACAGCACTGTACTTGGCTAGAGTGGACGGAGGAGGACCTAGTAGGCTTCCGGGAGCAGAGAGTCCTGCGGGATCCACCGGGCAAAGAGAAGCTGGCTGTGCACAAGTGGATTTGGATCTAAAGGTATGTGGTCTTGCCCAGGGGTGGGAAGGAGGATACTGCTATGGTTTGGATCAGAAAGTACCCCCAGAAACTCATGCACACAGAGCGCGGGTCTGTCGGGAGGTGAGTGGATCGGGAGCCACTCTCTCCTCGGGATCAACCCACTGATGAGTGTGTCATCCAGGCTTTCTGAAGGGGCTCGTGTTCTTCCTCATGCCCCTCAGTCAGTAATCAGTCAGTGCTTGGTTCTGAAACCCCGTGTCTAGGTAGGAGTCAAAACGATCAATAAGATGGGATCCGAACACTCTGCTTTTGGCAGTATTACCTACTAGGTGGAAAAGGAAAACTGTCCCAACCAAACACCTTGACACTGCTTGATACTCTCTTCCAACAGATCTGTCTACCACTCTCATGCTTTTCCCAGATGTGTTTGTAGAATAAGTGTTACCATGATATATTTAATGGCTTGGTTGTCAATTCAATGGCGTTAACACACAGCAGGGGCTTTTGGATGGGAGTGTCCAGAAGGCCTCTTCAGACCAGCACTTCAGAGGCAGATTTGCTGTGTCTATGGCCAGTCCTGCAATGTCACCTATGTCACCAACTCCCAGATTGGTGTGTGCACACAGAGGGAGCAGTGTCACATGTGGATTTAAATACTGGTTCCCGCAGAAGGGCATTTTGCTCACTACTGGATATTTGGCGATGCCTGGATACGTTTTTGAGTACTGCAACTTGGGGTGTGTGTGGTCCAGTTGGCACCCAGCTGGCCACGAAGGGTCATTTGGCTAAATCGTCCATGGGGCTGAGGTCAAGGAACCCTGGGTCAGCCGATGGCCATTCTACAAAAACAAGCGAAGTGAGCATTCCCCCAACTCACCCCGGGACTTTCCTCCAAACCCTCCTCCGTGGTGGACCACAACCATCACCTCACAGGGATCATGGTAGCCTTCCTTTTCCACTTGAGCATCTGGTGAGGTTGTGACACAAATCTTTGTAATTTTATCCACAATGTGCACATCTGGCATTCTGGATAAGAAAAAAGATGATTATTATTCATTTTTTAAAAAGCAAGTGACATCACAAGATTCCTACCCCTGACTCTCAGACCTGGGTTACAGGACGAGACGGGGAAAATGGCCTGAGCATGTAAACTGCCAAGCAGTTTCTTCCTGCCCAGTGGGAAAGAGGAAAAGAGATCTCCTGGCAGCTGGAGAGAAAGGATTCTGGGTTCTGTCTCTTTTTGGAATGCAGGTGATTCTCTCGAGGCCCCCGTGAGCAGCACGGTTAGCTTGGTGACCTAGATGGCTCTCCTGGGACCCAGTGCCCAGTTTCCTTGACAGCATGAGCACTACCTCTGGAGTCAGATAAACACCCTGGCATTGCTTCATCTCCATGCAGGTGTATGTTAACTTCCCCTGAGCCCAGGATCCCAAACTTGAACAAAAACGTATTCAGAAACCCCCAACTTTAGAAATATTAAACTGTTTTTCTCTATACCCAGTGGCGAAGGGTCCTGGGGCCTCACGAGTGATTTGAAGATCATGATGACCTGTCCCTTTCTCTCTGGGACTGCCCCATGGGGACTGAGTCCTGCTGCCTAGAGAGCACACGTGCCACATCCTGTTAGGATCCTGCCTGAAAGTGTTGCCTGGAAATGCTACTGTTAGGCAGAGGTTTCCCCCACCATAATACTCTCTGGAGACAGCATCTCTGCCAGGGTTCATATCCTCTGAAACTCAGGTTGGACCTGGAGGGACCTTGTGCTGGTGTTGGGAGGTGACCAGATTGTTCTAAAGACTCATGCCATGCTTGTGGCCTGGGCTCCTTACAAGAGGGCAGGTTGTTGCTGTGCTTTTTGAGCATGTGCCCAAGCATCCGCCCACCTTTGTGCCAGACTGTAATGTGTGTAACACAGCATGCGCCCCTGCCAGATGTCATACTCGCTGCTTCCACACAGCCCTGAGCCAAAATAAAACTCTCTTCTATGTAAATGACTCAGTCTCAAGTATTTTGTTATAGCAACAGGAAACAGACTAAGACACTCTCTACCTCAGTGGTTATGCCAGGTGGACTCTGATCCTGAGGCTACCTGGAGAGGGCATACTCCTCAGTTCCTAAGTGAACTGGTAGCTCTGGGTCCCCATTATGATAGCCCTGTCCTGAGTACATGAAGAAGGATTCTTACTGTCAAGGATCCGAGCTGGCTTCTTTCTACCATTTCCATACACGGAGTCCACACGGACAATGCCCCAAGAGTCAGGCAAGGACGTTGTAGCATCTCTTAGCATTTGAGAGTTATTAACACTAATGCTAAAAATGAAAGGAAAGCCACTCTTCAGCTCCTCTAAGTCACGCTATTTGGGGATAAACGTGCTCCAAATTGCTTACCAGGGGAGAAGGAACTTACTGCTAAGCACCTAGAATGAAGAATAAGTAGCGGGTGTTAAAACTTACAAAGTAAAGCTTGACAGTGAAGCGTACAGCCGATATTATTCACACGGTCTTGGAGGTTTAAACATTCCCGGGGGAAAAACTGAGGCTGAGCTTGGATCCTGCTGTCCTGTGATAGCCACCTCCTTCTCACCTCCCTTTCCCAAATCCCCTTCCCCATCTCCAACACGCCAGAGGAGGCAATGTTTCTTTGCAATTTGTCCGCTCTCTTCTTCCTCTTTCTCTTTCTCCCTTGGTGTGGGCATGGGTCTCAGCCCTGCTCTGGAGGCTCCCGGTGCACAGTAGGCTGGGCGGAGCCAGATGGGGCCTCATTTTACAACTCAGTAAGCGAGAGGCAGAAAACAGATCTCGTGGGTGCTTGTAGCTGGGAAGCCTTATTGAGATTCCGATGACATTTCATCCAAATTCTGTGTGGCAGGACAAGATCCTTTCATGTGGTTTGGCCTGCGTACACCAACAGTGGAGATCACAGCGCTGGGAGCCCAGGTTCTGAGTCCTCGGTGAGGTGCCATGGTCCCAGGCACAGATCTGAAATCAGTAATTCTGTGTCCTCTGTGTGTATGGGAGAAATGTAAATGTGGGCTGTTATTTCTGTGGTCCTGCATTAATGCTGACGTGCCTTGCAAGGAGTCTCATTATGTTACTTATTTCAGAGTCAAAGTGCTTATGCTCTGAAGGAGCTAAAATTTCACCTGTAGGAAAATTGGCACAATTTCTCATTTTACCATCCTCAGTGCCAAGCATGAAAAAATACACTTTCTGTTTGGGTAATTGTGCACAGCGGGAACTTCGCTTTATTTACAGCTTTCCTTATCAGCAGCCAAAGGAGAGAGCACTTTCCTTGGTACAATTCATACTAGAAAGTGTTCTTAGGCAAGAAATGGGCACTAATGACAGATATACCCAAGAGTCAGAGAAAGAACAAGAGTGTCAGGAACCAAGGGTCTTTTCTCCATTTTTGTCCATCCTTTCCCAAACAGTGAGCATCAAGACGATCAGAAATTGCTTTGTTCTCAAGTAATATTGCAAGCTGGTGCCTGAAGCAGCTGCCCTGCATGACCAAAGCCATGAGCTGAGGGCATGCAGCCTGGGCGTGAGCTCGGACACCGCGGTGGACGGCACGGAAGCCAGTGGGGAAGGCCAGACCATGAGAAGCACCTCAGTTCGTGGGATCCATCGGCCGGGCCATGGGTTGGGGGGCTTGGTCCTAGTGTCCTGGGCATCTGCCTACCTAGAGAGACGGGTGGTAGAGAGCACAAAGGAAGCCTCCTTCCTCTCAGCCCCGAAGTCATTTTCTAGCACCTGGTCTTTCCCTTGCCACGGACAGCCCTGGGTGCCTGGGGTGCGTCTTTCACACAGTCTGTGAGGCCTCACCAGCGATCCCCAGGCTCAGTCCCCCTGCTGGGTCAGAAGGCGGCATCCTGGATGCACACGCCAGCCCCCCACTGTGAATGCAATTCTCCCGCATGGCAAGCACGCATTGATAAAATTAAAATTGTACAAGCGCCACACCCTGCTCTCACTCCGCTTTCCTGTCAGTTTAATCAGTGATATGTGTCCACCGAGGTCAGGTTTCTGGACCTGCACAGCTGGAGACCTAACCTCGCCTTGTGGGACAGGGCTGAGGACCGTTCTAGTTCTAGGAATTGAGCAGCAGTAACAATAACAGCTGGGCCTCACTGGCCAGGCATCCTGAAGAGGATCACGGAAGGTTTCTCCCCCAGAACCTTACTGCAGCCGAGCACATAGACTAGTGCAGATCTCACCATCGGAGAAACTAAAGACCAGAAGAGAAGTCCCAGGATTGGGCTGCAGATCCACCTGGTGCCGTGCTGAACTCATAACTACAGGCCCTAGCACCTGGAAGCAGATCTTTGGGGTAACATAGGAGGCCCTTCCTTGATAGAGTTAGCATGAATTACGGTGTGTAGCAGAATTTGCTGTGTTTTCTCAACTCTGAGTCTCACAGCAAGCGCCCTGGCAGGTTGGGCAAATGTTTCAGCCTTGATTTGGGACAGGATGTTGCAACTCCGTGTGCCCAGTGACTGTCCCGAGACGCGGAGTTCTGTGAACCCCAGGGCTGGCACATCTCTGTGTGCTTCAGGACCTCCAACTCTCAGGGGCCCCTGCTTCTAGTCTCTGTCGGCCAGGGAGAGACAATGACTGGGTAAATGAGCCCGTATTCCTAATCCCAGGTCAGAAGGCAGCCGCTCCCACCCTAGAACGTGGCCGCCAGCCCCGGCTCATAGGTTACCAAGGGCTTAGTGCGTTCAAGAGCTCAGCGGGCAGAAAGTGAAATGCAGGAGCGATAAAGGAACTCACGGCAGAGAGCGCGGCTGTGCATCCCAGACTCGGAAGGGGCTGCTGCCCTGCAGCCAGTCTTGAGGCGGCCAATCTGGAGACAGAGCTGGCTCCAGCACTTTTCAATTTATTTTAAGTCATAGAAACATCAGAAAAAATTTTTTTTGTTTTAAAAATTAAACAACCATAGCTTTGCTATGAAAAGTTTTAAAAGTTGTGAAAGCCAAAAACCACAAGTAAATCTCAGTGAAGAGTATCTAGCAATACATTGAGAAAAAAAAATAATCAAGAATTTTATTTCCAGAATGCAATCACTTCAGGTTTAGGAAATCTTTCCCCAAAAATCGCCACATTAA